CTGCAAGACTAAGATCTTATGGGGAGGCCCTGCTCTCAGTCCCGCCACTGTCACAGGCATGATTGGCTGGGGACGAGAGAGGGGCCTTCTCAGTGATTGCCCCCAACACCCTGCTATGGAACTTGCTCCCTGGCCAGATTCAGCCCCCTCCCTCCTGTCCTTCAGAAAGATTGTAAAAACCTGGCTGTGGGACCAAGCCTTTGGGACAGTGCAATAAGGCAATAATCGGAAACCCACTCTGCTGATCAGAGCTGATGTGGTTGTTTTGAGATGGTTTAAATAATTGATTTTAAAGTAGATATAACTGATTTTACTGTTAGTGCATATGTATAATTTATTTTATGTTCCAGAATTGAATGCTTGCCGTATATATGTTGTGCTCCGCGGGGTGAGAAGGATGAATATAAATGTTTTAAATAAATATAAATTAATTGATAGTTAAGGAATGAAACTAGGATAGTTAACCATGGCATAAGATGGCTAAATCTCTTCGATTACCACAGTTCAGTGTCAACACTTGAAAGTGTTCAGATAAACTATCTGATACCAAGAAGTACATAGGACTACCTATTTGTGTAAATGGTAGCTACTCTATAACAAAAAAAGTCATTAATGGTATTTTGTTGGAATCATCAATGAAAGAAGATAGAAGAAAGATAAAGCCTTGAATTGATTAGGTTGATATCAGGCATTGCATTTATGCCTAGTTAAGTCTGATGAACTTTATTTGTGTTAGAAGAAACCTTGTTTTGTAAATATTGTAATATTATCATTTTTTGTTATAAGAAAAAGCCTCCAGAGGAAGTGAAAGACTGGTCTGTGTGTTTTTGTTTGTTTGGTCACTTTCTGGCTGTTGCTGCTCTGTTCCGCTGTTGCAGGTAGATTATACTACAATTCTTTTACAGGGAGGTCTTTTGATTGTAAGCTCACTTTTCCAACATACCCCACATAGAGGGTTTCCAGGTGGTCCCTCATCCATGTATTTACCACCCAACCTTGTTTATGTGAATCAAGGGTTGTGTTGTCAAATGCTTTCATGGAATTACTGGGTTGCTGTGAGTTTTTCAGGCTGTATGGCCATGTTCCAGTAGCATTGTCTCCTGATGTTTTGTCTACATCTGTCCAAGCATCCTCAGAGGTTTTATTTAATTTATTTATTTATTTATTTATTTATTTATTTATTTATTTATTTACAACATTTATATCCCGCCTTTCTCACCCCGAAGGGGAATCAGAGCAGCTTACAAGTTATATGTACATGCAATATATTATATTATTAGCATAGCACAATATTAGTATTATATATTATAATATTGTACTACAGTGATCCCTCACTTATCGTGTTATGTTCCTGAAACACGCGCGTTAGGTGAAATTCCGCAATGTAGAGACACCCCCTCACCTTCCCTCTTTGCCCTCCTTACCTTCCTCTTCCTGTTCCTTGTCACTGCATAGGGCCTCTTGCCGCTGCTTGGGCCCTGCAATGAGGAGGAGGAAGAGGAAGGTAAGATGGGTGAGGGGTGGCTCCTCTTGCCCCCTCGCCCTCTTTACCTTCCTCATCCTCTTTGCCATCTGGGCCTCTTGCTGCGATGCCACATGGGCAAAATTCTTTTTTTTAAAAACTCGCGGAACAGTGCGTCCGTGATAAGCGGACTGCAAAGGATTGAGGGACCACTGTATATTACTATACTGCAGTATTATTAGTAATATTACATGTAATTTAAAATATATAATTATTATATTATTTTATTATTAGTATTATATTGTATTACAATATTATGATCAATATTATATGTAGATGCAATGTATTATATTATTAGCATAGCACAATATTAGTATTATATAGTAATATTACATGTAATATATAATATACAATTATTATATTGTATTATATTATTAGTAGTATATTGCATTATATTATATTGTCTGTGACGTTTGAACAAACCTCTGAAAATGCTTGCCACAGGTGTGATTTGTGTGTGTGTGTGTGTTTCAGGAGTGACTTGAGAAACTGCAAATCGCTCCTGCAAGTGAAACGTCAAGAGAGAATGCTACAGCAACGTGGCCATACAGCCCAAAAAAACTCACAGCAACCCAAACAAGGGATTCTCAGTATACATGCACTTCTCCTCTCCCTGGCTGTTTCAGCCCATTATTCTTGTGATAAACTCTTTCTTGAAATTACTGGTGAAAAATTATTTCCTTTTTGTGTGCAAAATTGAGCACATGATAAATGAGTCAAAGCATTTGCAACAAACATGGCTTGAGAGAAAAGGAGTGAAAGGAAGCCACAAACCACAATGATAGTTTTTATGAATTGGCCCATAGAATATTCTGCTTATTGAGCTTCTAAGCCATTCTTTATCTCTCGGGTGCCCCAAATCACTCTTTCTATACATAGGGAAGTGGGAATAAAAATTAGTGTTTAATACAATTAAAGAAAAAATGTTAATCTACAATAAAAGCATTAAATGAAAAGCGGTTCACATTACTTGGGCTAAAGTATTAACCAGAGTACGCTCATGTGTTTTACTGCAAAGTGCAAAAGGCATACACATATTTTACATTTTCTATAAGTACAAAAAAACAATCATAACCTTTGTTGCCTTACGTTGCAGTGGAGACATATATTTGTAAGAAGATTTGCTAAATGAAGCTAATTAAGTATATTTCTGTTTCAGCATAATTGCAGCTTTTCCTTGAATGCAATTTTATATACAGTAGTCAAGAAGGATAATGTGAAAAATGGGAGATAAGATGTTAGAATACATTTTGTTGAAAAGAGGAATTTAGATAGTTTGGTGGAAAAGTCTGAGCTTCTTCAAATATTCCAGTCTGATGAAAGGCAATTCCCACAATGCCTTTACCTTTGTGTATTATTTATTGGAAGGGTCTCTAAATTACAATGTGTGAGGGAAGGGCGGGCTTCAAAATGTTCCTGCACTTTTTAAAAGGTAAAGGTACCTCTTTACATAGTCGCCTTCCTTTGTGAGGCATTTTCCTCAACATCCTACCAACATTTTAAGGGGTTTATACTCTCTGCCTGGTGGTTCTATTTTCTCCATTTTTCCGTGCCCAATAAAAAGAGAAAAACCATTAATATTTGATATATTGGTTTGCCAAATTTCATTACTATGGATGTATTGTCATTGTGTTCAGGTATTGAATGTTTGCCTTCTATGTTTGGAATCCGCCCTGAGGCACTCCAGGGAATTGGGTGGAATATAAATAAAGTATTATTGTCGAAGGCTTTCATGGCCGGAATCATTGGGTTGTGCATTTTCCGGGCTGTATTGCTATGTTCCAGAAGCATTCTCTCCCGACGTTTTGCCTGTATCTATGGCAGGCAAAATGTCAAGAGAGAATGCTTCTGGAACATGGCCATACAGCCCAGAAAACACACAACAACCCGTTATTTGAAACACAACAAGATGAGTCCACAGCAGACACTCTGCTGGCTGTTGTATTGGATCACACATCCCAAGTGTCTAGGACTGTGTGATGTATCGGCGAATAATGCGTGCAGATCCCAGTAAGGTGGCCTTTTGCAGCTGGCAGATGGTAATCTTGTCAGCACCGATTGTGTTTAAGCGCAGGCCAAGGTCTTTAGGCACTACACCCAGTGTGCTGATCACCACTGGGACTACCTTTACTGGTTTGTGCCAGAGTCTTTGCAGTTAGATCTTTAAATCCTCATATCGTGTCAGCATTATTATTATTATTATTATTATTATTATTATTATTATTATTATTTACATACTTTCCCCTTAAAATGAGGCTCTTCTAATTAAAAAAAAACCATAATAAGAAAAGTAATAAATAAGAATTGACTTTTAGTTCTTCTCAGGAAGATCATACATTACAAAAAGGTTATGATCATTCCAAATGGTAGTGAATGCCAATTAATCTCCAAAAGGTTACACTTCCAAAAGGCTTTGGAGATTCTGGTTTTCCAAAAGGTTATGATCTTAAAGGTAATCCTTTTCCCAAAATCCAGAACACTAGTACGACCATCTTCAACCATTTCAACTTTATCCTCATACTAAAAGCACATGTAGGGACGAATTTGTGCTTCCAGCACACCTGCCCACAAAAAGGATATGACAGAATGCTGCTCTTTGGTGCAATTTTTATTTTATTTTCACAGCCATCTTTACCCCAGCATGATAACTCTTAGCTAAAAGTGCAAGGTCAGCCAGTTTGTCAGACAGACTAGTCAGATGACACTCTCAGACATGAGCAATTACAACTCCTTCCATCCTCACTGTTTTCAATGAAAATATAAAATTGTGGAAATTTTTGAAGATTCCTTGGATGTTTCTGATAATCACCTAGCAGGTAGAAGAGTAGCCTTCCTCTGGACAGTCTTTGCAACAAGAAAGCCAAAGGTCTAATAGAGAATACTGACAGAGCTATGTCCTTTGGTCAACAGTTTTTGTCAGTTTTGTTGAATCAAGGAAGAATGATCTCATATTTATGAGATTGCTTATCCACTCTCTGAATCTTCGCAATCAAGTAAGTAAACTAGATGAAGAACAGAGTTAACTCCTGGCTCTGAATTCAATTGGATATGAAATGACAAAATATACCACAGTGATGTTTTTAAAAAATTATTTTATGTCTGATGATGAAAACGGATTATCTACAAACACGCTTTGATCAGAATGGTCATTTCATAATAATACCTTTAAAACTCTTGATGGCTTACAAACACAAGTAAATGGCATATAAGGCAATGAAACACCAGTGCTTAAGTACTGATAGTGATATCCAACAGAAACAGGAAGTCTTGTAAAAATTATTGACGCAGCTGAGAAATAGCTAGGAGCAAAGATATGGTAAATGGCTTAGTCTAAATACAATTTTAGTCCAAGTAAGCATAGACCTATTAAAGCAATTGTGGTTACATAAATTCTGATTTATAATTAGGTAATTGATTCAATATTTTATTTATTTATTTATTTAATGTATCAGAAGCAAATTGAGGGTACAGCTGTAATGTATTTAAACACACAAACGAAGTTGAAAACTTGGCATGATACTAAATGTCCTTGGACCAGTAGCTGGCCACTTGGAGTGCCTCTGGTGTTTCTATAAGAAGGTCCTCCATTGTGCATGTGGCAGGGCTCAGGCTGCATTGTAATAGGTGGTCTATGTTTTGCTCTTCTCCACACTCGCATGTCGTGGACTCCACTTTGTAGCTCCATTTCTTAAGGTTGTCTCTGTCTCTCATGGTGCCAGAGCACAGTCTGTTCAGTGCCTTCCAAGTCACCCAGTCTTCTTTGTGCTCATTTATTCAGTGGGTCCACTCAACTGCATATTTAAACTGATGTGTGTTATTCCAGTAATGTAGAAGTACCAGAATTCCTGTTCTAAAATCTGCCATTCCATATTTTAGAACAATTTCAGTATTTTTAGTACGCTAGCCCAAAATAACATTGATAAAATATAATGATTTTGAATTTTAAACCCATGCTAAAGTACCATCATGACTACTGGAGAGGGAAATGAAATTTGCTTCAGCAATCCTGATCTGAAACAAGTTTATTCAGAAATGAGAAAATGCCAGTATTCAGAATATGCACAGTCTTGCACTGTATTATATCATAGCACCAACGTGACTAGGGAATTTGCTTCTACCCATCTCCCTTGAGAGCAAACATCACTTTGCTATAGAAAAATATGCAATTTTAAAAATAAAAGTAATCTAGCTTTCGGGAGGTAGGTTGATTTTATCTTCCAGGCTCAGTCCTTAGATGCAGTGCTGGAGTCTCACACCATCATAGTACTAAACATGACTCCAGAATGTGAGGCATTTTCTGTAAAATGTGCATAGGAAGCCCTTCCACTGATCTCTCCCAAAGCAGCAATGCCTATATATCCGAATGGGAAATCCAATGGGGAGGGGAGGGAAGTTTTAATCTATGTACTTGCCATAGCAATGCCACTGGATTCAGACCTATGATAAGAACCACAGACCCTTGTCAATATTCAGAATGTCCCTTCCTATTTCTTCAACTCATTTGTACAGCTTTTCCACTAAGGTTTTATTTTCTTAGTAGCCTACTCTCCACAAATTTCTTAAGACTATCATTCAACATAAAGTTTTAAGGCTATCAGTTCCTTACTGTATTATCTGTCATGTAAGTATCTGCTTAACCCAGAGAGCACAGTACAACATAATGTTAATAATACTCTAAGCCAGCATTTCTCAACCTGAGAGTTGAGACCTCTGGGTGTTGGCGAGGCGGTGTCATAAGGATCGCCAAAGACCATCAGAAAACACAGTGTTTTCTGTTGATCATGGGGGTTCTGTGTGCAAAGTTTGGCCCAATTCTATTGTTGGTGTGGTTCAGAAAGTTCTTTCATTTTAGGTGAACTATAAATCCCAGCAATCACAACTCTCAAATGTCAAGGTCTATTTCCCCCAAACTCCACCAGTGTTCACATTTGGGCAAACTGAATATCCATGCCAAGTTTGGTCCAGATCCATCATTGTTTAAGTCCACAATGCTCTCTGGATTTAGGTGAACTACAACTCCAAAACTCAAGGTCAATGCCCACCAAAGCTTTCCAGTATTTTCTGTTGGTCATGGGAATTCTGTGTGCCAAGTTTGGTTCAATTCCATCATTGGTGGAGTTCAGAATGCTCTTTGATTGTAGGTGAACTATAAATCCCAGCAACTGCAATTCCCAAATGACAAAATCAACCCCACCAGTATTCAAATTTGGGCATATTGGGTATTTGAGCCAAATTTGGTCCAGTGAATGAAAATACATCTTGCATATCAGATATTTACATTATGCTTCATAACAGTAGCAAAATTACAGTTATGAAGTAGCAACGAAAATAATGTTATGGTTAGGGGTCACCACAACATGAGGAGCTGCATTAAGGAGTCACGCCATTAGAAAGGTTGAGAATCACTGCTCTAAACTCACTAAAATCCTGACACAAAGACATGCATGTAAACCTGTCATTAAAAATTATAAATACTGTTGTGACGTATTGAAGTAGGAGCAAATCTAGACACAAAATATTAATGTGGCTAATGAGGAAGAAGTGTATGTTACCCTTACATATGTTTCTTTTGAAGGTCTATTGTACAGCTGCTGTAGCAACAAGATTATACAGTTACAAGGTTAATATCTTGTGTTGGTGCCCACAATAGTATGAGGAATGAGATGAATTAAAAGTGCAAAGCTGCATTTAAATGGAGTTTCCATAACAGAACAACTCTTTCCCTACATAGCAGGAAATACATTCCTTGGACATGCTTTATCCAATATGAGAACTCATCTGATTGTCTTCTGTTTTACTGCTGCCCACTGTGTGGAATAATCAACTAATTGTGAGACCATCTCTTTCTTATACTAAATGTATCCTTACTGCAGTCTTTATTGCAATGTGAATCAAGGTGAGCTCAGTAAAGGCTGCTGATAGCTGGAAGTGATATCTGCAGACAGTAGAATCAAAAGTGCCATGCTGCATTGTCAGCTTCATTATTTCTTCATATTGTACATGAAGTGAAAGTTCCCACTGGTTTTTTCCCCCATGGTTTACAGACACCATTGCATTCCTGGGAGGAGTATTCACTCTCAACCCTCTTTTATTTAGCTGAAAATGAAATTCTGTCAGCAAACAAGTCTGTGGAGCAAAGGCTGAGACTTGGAAAAGAGATCTGTGAATATAAAAGAAGAAAAATAACGATTAATGAAACAAGGAATGGTAATCCCCAAATTCCGAGTCACTTGGGATTTTCCAAAAACATATGATTGACCATTGCTGGAGCAAGTATGCTGAATTAAATGGATTTTGTGTTTGATGCAACATGGCAGATTTTTTTCATGTATGCATTTTTGGAAAAGCATTGCTAAAGATGTTCATGTGTCAGTTTTTGTTCTCCAATTACAAAAATCTCTACAAGCTGGTGAAGTTTGCTCTACACCTGTGGTTCCCCAGGTGTTTTCGCCTACAACACCCAGAAATCCCAGCCAGTTTACCAGCTTTTAGGATTTGAGAGTTGAAGGCCCAAACATCTGGGGAACCACAGGTTGAGAACCATTGCTCTACATCCTAACTGCTGTTCTCTAAATGTTCCTTGGATATGAATAAGTACCATATTTTAGAGGGGAGTGGTTGCTTTTCTTGTATTATTCAGTATGCACTCAGAGACACAACATGTCCCTTCCTAGCAAGCCAGTTGTTCTAAATACCTGGCAAGGTGCTCATTAGTAAAGGAAAACTGCCCAGGAGGAAGAACTTGGACTGCTGCTTATCACTTGTTGATCAGAATTGTCCAAGTCAGCAAATATATTCTGCAAGGAATATTCCAGCCAGATCTTTGTTTCCCAAACAGAACTGCATGCATAGCTTCTGGAGCACTCAATTTTTTTTCGTAATGAGGATGTGGAGGAATGCTTCCTTCACTTCTATTTTGACTCAAGTTAATTACATTGGAACATTTCTAGTTTAGGAAACAATTTTTTACTCCCAGCCTTTCCATCTAGCAATTTGGATTGATAGAACAAGCCATTATAATATTTTTGGCTAAGTAAAGTAATTAATATGTATGTGTTTGTGCACATATGCTCATACATGTTTGTTTGTTGTGGTGGTGTAATTTCTGGGTTAAACCCTTGTGCCAGCAGGATTGGTCGACCGACAGGTTGAAGGTTCAAATCTGGGGAGCGGGGTAAGCTCACGTCTGTTGAGCTCTAGCTTCTCATGCAGGGACATGAGAGAATCCTCCCACAGGATGGTAAAACATCAAAAATCCGGTCATCTCCTGGGCAACGTCCTTGCAGACGGCCAACTCTCTCACACCAGAAGCAGTTTGCAGTTTCGCAAGTCGCTTTTGTCACAAAAAAGAAAAACAATTTCAAGTCATTTCTGGCTTATAGCAACCTTCCACAAATCTTTCCTTTTTGCTCAGAAGGTTTTAAAATTGCCCTCTTCTGAGGCTGGGTGTGATTTGCCCAAGGTCACCCAGTGGGTTTCCATGGTCAATTGGGGATTCCGATCCTGCTTCATGAAGTAATAATCCAACTACATCATACTAGGTTTCTCTCTGTGTGTGTATCGGAGGCCCCTTCCACACAGCTGAATAAAATCGCACATTATCTGCTTTGAACTGGAATATATGGTAGTGTGGACTCATTTAACCCAGTTCAAAGCAGATACTGTGCGATTTTCTGCCTTGATATTCTGGGTTATATGGCTGTGTGGAAAGGCCCTTAAATCCAACTGCCAATCTCAATTAGATCCACATGCATGATATTTTTCCATTCAACAATTGATTCTAATGTGTCTACTCTAATTAGGCTGGAGGCATATGTCTAAATACCTTAAAGACTCTAGATTTCATTTGATCTTCAAAGCTAAGTAGGAACAGTTCTAGGGCCCTTCAATACAGCCCTAAAACCCAAAATATCAAGGCAGAAAAATCCCAAAATATCTGCTTTGAACTGAGTTATCTGAGTCCACACTCAGATAATGTGGGATTTTCTGTCTTGATATTTTGAGATATAGGGCTGTGTAGAAGGACCCCTAGTTATTACAATATTTGAATGGGAGACTGCCAACAACCTCCAGGTACAGTAGGATATATTTCTAAGGAAGGAACTGGCAAATCGTTTATTACTAATATTTGCATAAGAAAACCCTATGAAATCCATGGAGTTGTCTTAAGTCCATTACTTCCAGTGCACATGTGCATGCATACACACAAACATACAGAGGCACACAGAGGAAGAACCAGAATTGGTAGAGACCAAACCTACCTCCCAAGGTTTGTACGGTCAGAATGATGTTGCCTTGACTGTCTCATTTAGTTGTTGCTGCTGCGGTGCTATGTCGAATGTCTCCACTGGTTGGAAAGAACTGACAGAGTGAGAGGATCTTGAATTCTTGCAGGCTAATATAAGAAGAAACCTCAGTCAGTTCAACAAGCAGGAGATACCTTCCCCAATGAAGAGTACAAACCTGTGTCATCTTACACATAATTAGGCACTTAACTAAATCACTTCTTCTGTCCCAACCTCTCCAAACCTGTCAGAAACATCATTGAACCTTGCCCTGATTGTGGACAGAATGTATCTCCTTTCCCACAAGCACTTGATACTTAGAAAAGTAACTGGTGGAGGTGAACTTACGATTATTTAAGGCAATTGTTCAATGCCTTAAAACACATACAAATCATTAAGCTTAAATAAATTAAATTAAAATTAATACATACGAAGTATTCAAAAGCATTACATTCAATATTAAAATCACACCATAGTTCTCAAGTTTGGAATATTCCTAAGCTCTGCATCATTTGTACAGAAATAGCCTAGAATATGGGAAATAGTAAAACCCAGCAAAATAAAACAGCTTGACCATTTTCTATGGAAGCACCTTGCAGAGGTGCCAATGGTGTCTGAAAATGTGATTATAATGTGTTGCATCTAGGAATAAGTGGACTTTTCTTGTTCTATAGAGAAGCTTTATGGGCTACCAATAAAATGGAGATGCTGTTTATCTGGGAGATACAACCCACACATAGAAGCAGCAGCTGGATATTTCAGCAACCCTCCACCACACAACGTATTCTCAAAACCTGTAAAACAGATTACGGTGAGAGAGTGATTTTAAGGAGGCAGAGTATGTGTGAAAGAAACGGGGACTCGCCCAAAGTCACCCAATGAGGTTCATGATGAAATGGGAATTTGAAATTAGATTTCCCCCAAATTAAACTTTGAACACACACCACAATAGTTTTTTACAGTATATGGGTTGGTTACAAAAGCAACTATACTTACTGAGCCACCGCCGAAGGATGACTGCTAGCATGGCTACAAGAAGAACGAGGATCACACAGGAAGCAATAATGATCCAATGGGGTGGAGCAGTCAGTAAACACTCTTCTGGTATAACTAAAATGAGAGAGTTGAAAACACAACTGAATCATTCAGGTTCACAGCAAAAAACTCAAAATTCTCCTTAATATCCTGAGTCTATATCTGAAAATTAGCAGCACAGAAATCAGCGTGGCTTACTTTAAAGGAGTTTTGTAGACATTTTGACACGTCTTTCTCTCAGAAACATAACCAAGGTACTCATACAAGGTAAGCTTCCTTTGAAGCCTGAAACCTGGCTCCTTGTGGAAGATGCAGCCAATCTGCTTTTTAATAAGTAAAGCTCATCTCTAGTATATCTTTTATTCTGAACCAAAGGACCAGTCTGTGGTGCAGCTAGTTAATAACCAGCTGCATTAAATCATGCATTAAATCACTACTGACCGAGAGGTCATGAATTTGAAGCCAGTGAGTCGGAGTAAGCTCCCTACCATTAATAGTCTAGCCTGCTGTTGACCTATGCAGCCCAAAAGACAGTTGCATCTGTCAAGTATGAAATTTAGATACCGCTTTATGTGGGGAGGCTAATTTAAATATTTTGCAACACCATAAAACCTTCCAGCAGTGTGCAGAAGAATGAGGAAGTACTTCATCAAAGGATGCAGTGTCACAAGCAACAGCTCCCCCTGTGGCTGGAACCAAGCATGCCCTCATGAAGCTGGAAACATGGAATGTTAAATTGTCTCTATGTCTGTCTATATATGTTGTATGTCTAAATGGCATTGAATGTTTGCCATGTATATGTGCATTGTAATCCTCCATGAGTCCCCTGCGCAGTGAGAAGGGCAGAATATAAATACTGTAAATAAATAAATAAATAGCCAATCATATATAAATAGTCATGGTATAATCATTGCAATTTTTTGCATAAAATTTTAAATCTTTTACCATCTTCCCAATGTGTAATTGACCTAAAACTATAATAAAAGAATGAATACATGTAAAAATGGATAGCACATACCAAGCTGTTGTATATCTACACAATGCAGGAAGAATAATCCAATGTAGTTCCAGACAACAGCTCAGTTTTGTTTCATGGTTCAGTTAAGTACGTACAATCCATGCTATATTTTGCTATCATTTTGGTACTACTACAAGTAAGACTCCATACCTCATTAATACTATCCAATCAATTTTAACTTTATAGGCATTTCTAATAAGAAGTGGTTTGAAAGATCTGTCATTAGTCAGCACTAGCTTAAGCCCCACTAATGTCAGTGGTTAGGATTTAGGAGGACCTGTCTGCTCTGAATACAAGGGGTTCTTTTCCAGGAGTCTCTGGATTTTGGGCATCTCTTGGTACCAAAACTACAGCTGACACTAATCAGAATGACCCTCTGTGTAATATTTACAAGGGCTTGAGAGGTTACCATGAGGAAGAGCGAAGCAAACCATGTCCCTTTTTGCAAATGTATTAAAGTGAAGGACCTACACCACGTGAAGTTGGCAGAAACTTGTCTTCCAGCATACTCAATTGAGCATTGGACAAGGATATTTCCAGTCACGTTGAGCTGCATGTAGCCAGTAACATTAAGAAGTTCAGTCTGGTTGTCAGCTGTCGAAGAAACAGTCCAGTTCTCCGTCTTATTATTGATGGATCCAAGCATCTTAAAATCTGGGTTTAATCCTCCATGAGAAGAACACCAGAGTGTCAACAGAGGGGGGTCACAGCCATTCGGTATCCCTGCAGATATAATAGGCCTCCTAAAATCAGCTGGTTAAAGAGAAAGAGTGAGAAAAGGTAAGAACAACACATGTAACAATAATTCTGAGAGATATCACTCAACATTAATGACACTGAGGGTCCTTCCACACAGTCATATAACCCAGAATATCAAGGCAGAAAATCCCACAATATCTGCTTTGAACTGAATTATTAGAGTCCACATTCAGATTCAAAGCATATAATGTGGGATTTTATTCAGCTGTGTGGAAGGGGCCTGAGAATCAGAAGTTTTTCCCTTCCATTGAATGTTGCGACGGCACGAGTGGTGCCACCTATGTATAGAACTGTTAGTTGCAAGATTGAAACTGTTGCATCATGCTTAATCCTGCCCCTTTTTACCCTGCTTATGTATAGTTGTATGGATTGGTTGCTTGTAGCTGTCAATCAGTACTGTTTGGCTCCACCTCTTCCTGCAGGAGGGGAGAGCCCCCTTTTTCTTTTCATTCTGCCATCAGAGTTCCTGCCACATGGACATGAGTAAGAGACTTGACTCTAAAGGACCCTGATTTAAATTACCTCTTAGCACCAGTTCTGAGGGTTTTTTTACCCTTGGGACTCATGCTTTATGTCCAGATCGTCCTGGACAATAATTGAGGAGACTCAAACCGGTTCTTTTGGCACCAAAGGAAGATCCTGAGTCTTCAAAACATAGGCCATCTGAACTGGGGTGTGGTTTGCTCCGGCATTCACAGCCATTGAGGAAAGAGGAAACTTGGTGAGGCTTCTCAGCTTCAAACTCCTTGGACCCAGGACTAATTGAGACTGTAACATATATTTTCCTTCACCCCTCTAAAGTTTTCCAGCTTATTGCTTTGAAGAAATGACTTCGTGATCAATAAAACTTATTTACAGTGTTTCGGGTTTTTGGGAGTTCCAGTTTCCTATAGGAGGGCAAGAAGCAATCCCTTGGGGGAAAGGTGCCACGTCCATCCCTCCTTCATTAAGAATGATAGCCCCCAAGCGTGACGGCACAAATGTAATTTTTTTTCTACAGGAATAATGACATGATAGTCAGTAAATAAAATAGCCCTATTAAATAAACCGATTTCAATAAGCACTGATTTAGTATTCAGCATTTTATTCACTGGGTCTGCTCTAGTTGGGATGAAGCAACTGTATTTAGGCCTATGTCTGTTAATGTCTGTTAGGGGTTGTGGTGTTGTTGCGGTTAAACCGCTAAGCTGCAGAACTTGCTGACCAGAAGGTCGACGGTTCAAATCCACATGATGGGATGAGCTCCTGTTGTTAGACCCAGCTTTTGCCAACATAGCAGTTTGAAAACATACAAATGTGAGTAGATCAATAGGTACCACTTTGGCAGGAAGGTAACGGCACTCCATGCAGTCAAGCCAGCCACTTGACCTTGGAAGCGTCTATGGACAACGGTAGCTCTTCAGCTTAGAAATGGAGATGAGCACCACCACCCAGAGTTGGACTCAACTAGACTCAATGTCAGGGGAAACCTTTATCCCTTTACTGTTAATGTCCGTGAATTATTAGCATGAATTCGCTGATTCTGAAGTGAAATAAGAACACTCTGAATTCACAAAATAGTATCCAAACCAACAGAAATTCTCTTTAGATAAGGAATTCTTTAAAGCTCGTTTTGCACACAATACCTAAAAGGGAAATGTTTTCAAGATGAATTGGCAACATAACATTTTATCAAAAGTGATTTGGGAATCAAATAAAAGCTAACATTTTTTGTAGTGATGTTAAAGATTTGAAAGGGCTTTGCAATCATTACTTAGCCTTCTCCAGTCTAGTACCCTACAGATATGCTTATCTCTGATTGATGGGAATGACAGAAGTTGGACTCATTTGGACAGCATTTGGTTGGGAGAGGCTTGCACTAGGCTTCATGAAAACTCTGTAAAGCAAATGGCTACCATTGTCCCCATGTGATCAGTTGCAGGCATTTGGCTTGCTATAGTAGAAATATTTAATATGGAGGGCATTACATTTTTCTTTTATCAAAGCTTCATAAACCAATAGCCCAACCTTCATGCTGGGATGGAACAATATTTTATTTTGGTTCATCTTGGTTGGTTAAATTTATTCTGATTTTATGTATTTATATATGTATTTATTATTTACGTCACTTTTATCCCACCCCTATCAGCCCGAAGGTGACTCAGGGTGGGATACAAATCGGCACAATTAGATGGCATATAAAATACATACATAGGTTAAAAGGAAAAAAAACACACACATTACAATACATTTAAAAACCGTAAAAAGCAATAACAAAATTTATAAAAACTATGTCTTCTTGTTCAAATCCTCAAATTATAAAAACTATGTCTTCTTGTTCAAATCCTCAACTGTTGTGTGCAATTTTTAAAAATTGCACACAACATTTTTCTTTGATTTTAAACATGCCTCTTAATTGAAGGGAATTTCTTTTTTGTGTCAAGAGCAACTTGAGAAACTGCAAGTTGCTTCTGGTGTGGGAGAACTGGCTGTCTAAAAGGACATCGCCCAGGGGACACGCAGATGTTTTACCATCCTGTGGGAGACTCCTCTCATATCCCCAAATGAGGAGCTGGAGCTCACACATGGGAGCTCACCCCACTCCTGTCCCCTTTCAGTTAGCAGTTCTGACCATTGTGCCACTGGGGTCTCCACTGAAGGGAATAACATGATTCTAATGGAGATCAGATGATAAAGAAATCACATAACATAACATGGAGAATTGTCAAATAAAGACAGAGATGACTAAAGAGAAAAGGGGGAATATTAATCCATTTCATTTAAAAATGGAAGCAAATGAATTAGTTGCTGATATCATTACATGGCTCAAAAGTTCAGGGATTTTTCAATGTTCTATTTTGTAAATTGATTTATAAAAGTTGTCTAAACATAAGGAAAATGTGTAAATATGAACAATTTGAACAAACTATGTTTAAAAGAAATTAATAGGATTTTACAACGTAAGTGTTGCTGTTATCATTTAGGAACTTACCCACTACAGATAAATTGACGGAGTCTTCACATTTTTTCCCATCCTTTATGATGATGCACTTATATGTGCCCTTATCCGATGCTTGCACTGAGAATAATGAAAGTGTAAGATTTTGCTCATTCATCTTTGTTCTGTTCTGGTAATGTTGGTCTTTTCTTTTAGGTTCATCTTTGCCAGCGTTGTGAGAAATCACAACCAGCTCTTTCCCCTCCTTTCTTACTGGTTTTTGCCAGTAGATTTTGTAAGTCTTCAGTTCACTGCCTGTATATTTTCTACTGCAGCTGCACGGAAGTTTGGCTTCATCTCCTACTTTGGCTGTCACAGTAATCTCCAGGCCTGAGAAGGAAGGAGCTGAGGGAAGCATAAAGAAAACAAGTATTTGATGCCTGAAATACTTACTCTGGAAACTGCTTCTTACATGTGTCCCCCGAAATAATACTTTTTTGAGAAGCAGGGAGGGAGGCAAAGAAAAAAGATTTATTTATTTATTTATTTGCCACATTTATATCCTGCCCTTCCAACCCTGAAGGGCACTCAGGGCAGCTAACAGCAGAGGCACAATTCAATGCTTTGAATACATATAAAAATAAAACAACATAAACTTTAAAATCACATAATTAAAACAGATCACTTAAAATAATTACTTAAAATCACACAGTCCAAAAGCATATTCCAGGAACCATTCAACTTTTCATTGTTCATTGTTGCACTGGGAATCATTGTGCAAATGCTTGCTCCCACAATCAGGATTTAACTTACTTCCTGAAGGTCCAGAAGTAAGTTAAATCTTCTTACTTCCTGACCTGGGAGGGAGTTCCTGGGAGGGAATTCCAAAAAACCCAAATATATAACTTATATTGACCATCACAGACCATCAAGTGGAACAAGGCTAGTAGAAGGAACATCCAATCGATGTGATGTAGAAAGGAGACAAAGTCTTGGGATGTAGAAAGAAAGATTCTATTCTTAAAAACAGCCCACTCCTTTTTGGCCTGAAAATATTTCTATTGCCTTTCTTTAGATGAATTCTAAAAAGCTGACTGGATGGTTGGCAGTTCAAAGCCACGAGTTGGGGTGAACTCTCGACTGTCAGCCCTAGCTCATGCTAACCTAGCAGTTCAAACACATGCAATGCAAGTAGATCAATAGGTACCACCTCGGCGGGAAGGTAAAAGGGTCCCCCATGAAGACATGCCGGCAACACAATCGGAGATGTCCATGGACAGCAGGCGCCTCAGCATGGAAAATAGAATAAGAGCACCTCCCCATGGCCGGAGTTGAGCATTGCCTCCAGATGCCAGAGATAGAAAAAGGGGAAGCCTTTGACCTTTGTCTTTGTTGTATGTTGTTGTTCACTGTGTGTGTTGAAAGACATTGAATGTTTGCCTCATATGTGTAGTGTAATCCACTGTGAGTCCCTCCGGGGAGATAAAATAAAATGTATTATTATTATTATTATTATTATTATTATTATTATTATTATTATTTGAAATACAACAAGATGGGTCCACAGCAGATAAGGTCACTGTGCTGGCTGTTGTATTGGATCACACGTCGGACACTTCCCAAGTGTCTAGAAATGTGTGATGTATCGGCGAATAATGTGTGCAGATCCCAGTAGGGTGGCCTGCAGCTGGCAGATGGCAATTTTGTCAGCGCCAATTGTGTTTAAGTGCAGGCCAAGGTCTTTAGGCATTGCACCCAGTGTGCCAATCACCACCGGGACCACCTTTACTGGCTTGTGCCACAGTCTTTGCAGTTCGATCTTTAAGTACTCATATTGTGTCAGCTTTTCTGCTTGTTTCTCTTCAATCCTGCTGTCACCTGGGATGGCAACATCAACAATCTATACTTTGTTTTTTAACACAATCGTGAGGTCAGGAGTATTATGCTCCAGAACTCTGTCAGTCTGAATTCGGAAGTCCCAGAGTAGTTTGATGTGTTCATTTTCTGTAACTTTTTCAGGCTTGTGATCCCATCAGTTCTTTGTCACAAGTTCCAATGAATCATCTAAGCAATGGTGTTATGCCTCTTCTTGTAGTCTGTCTGCGCAATCTTCTTGCAGCAGCTGAGGATGTGATCTATTGTTTCATCTGCTTCCTTACAGAGTCCACATTTGGGATCTGTCGTTGACTTTTTAATTCTGGCTTTGATGGCATTTGTTCTAATGGCTTGTTCTTGGTCTGCCAGAATCAGCCCCCCCCCCCCCCCCGTCTCCTTTTTCAATGTTCAATTTGTGAGCCACAGCCATGTCTTTTCTTTGTCAATTTGGTTCTCCCGGGAACTGTCCATGGAGAGCCATCTTTTGCCAGTTTTCTCTTCTGCTCTGAATTGTGTTTTTACATTATTCACTCTTTGTCTTTTGCACTTGAAGCAGTTTACTACTATTGACTTCCTTGAATGTTGGTTCTTGACTGCCTTTCACATAATCTGCCAGCGCATGTTTCTCTTCTACCGTTTGTTTCACTTGCAGAAGCCCTCTGCCTCCTGATTTTCTGGGCAGGTAAAGTCTGTCGACGTGGGTGTCATGAGTAGTGGATTGTCATTGTCATCATCATCATCATCATCATCATCATCATTACCTGGCATTTGAAGGAGTCAGGCCTATGATGAATTTTACAGCCATTTCTTACTGATGGTGGCGCACTGAATCATAGAATCATACAGATGGAAAGATCCCAAGGGACATCCAGTCCAACCTGATATGATGAAGGAACACCTAATCAAAGCACTCCCGGCAGATGGTCCATTCGGTCTTTGTTTTAAAAACTTCAAGGAAGGAGACTCCACCACACCCCAAGGCAATATATTCCACTGCTGAACAGCTCTTTCCACCAGTTGGTAAGTTGAGGGTAAAATCTTCGGTCTCAGCCCAGATCTCAGCAAGGGACTATTTCACAGAGAGATGAAAATGCTTGTGTCACTTTCAGCCTCCATCCTCTCAGAACTTAGACTGTGCCCAAGGTCTGGACTATGATGAGGAAGCCTGAAACAATCACTCTCTCCTTTATTTTCTCTTCCATAGCCAGGGAGCCCCCCAAAGAGATCCTGCCATCATTTTTTTTCAAGCAGGCATTACAAAGGGCCAGAAGTGGTGCTGGATAAACAGAGATTGACCTGCATATAAACTGTCTCAGTTTGGAGGGAGTGCCAATTTTTAGTCAATTTTTTTCAACGTATACACGAGTGTATATGGTATGTATATTAATTATACTTCAAGACAAAGTTTTTAAAGTATCATTGTTAAATTTCAAGAAATATATTTACAACTCAACAGGCATTATGCAAAGTGAAAGACAGAAGGATTCTCCCTTTGGTTGTCTCCAGCCAGTCACTAACATGATCAGGAAGTAAGCCTTCTCTGGACCAAACTAATAGTCATTGACAGACCATAGCTCCACCTATTTGGGTCTCTATTTGAGTTTCTTTGAAAGTTAGTATTGGTTTATCATGAGGAAGATGATTAGATTTTAAAATTCTATTAAATCAATTGTTTTTAATGTAAAATGTATATTGAACTGTGCTCCATGCAGTCATGCCGGTCACATAACCTTGGAGGTGTCTAGGGACAATGCTGGCTCTTTAGCTTAGAAATGGAGATGAGCTCCAACCCCCCAGATTTGGACATGACTGGACTTAATGTCAGGGGAAAACCTTTACCTTTTTATATTGAATTATGTGATGATATTCCTCAAAGGGGCAGGCAATCCAGATTGAGTATAAAACATTAAAACTGTAATAAATTAATCAGCAGAATAAAGAGTGACCCACTTATTAGTCTGGAGAATATCATTCTGTACCCCACTCCTGCTCTAGCTAGTGCACCTCCAATGACTTTAACATGACACTTCTTTTCTCTTATTTCTCCATTGCACAGCATGGAATCACTGAAAACATTGGTTGTTTCCTAGCATCATCCATATTATAATGTTAGAAAATGAAAGGAAAGTGTGTGGCTGACAACACTCCATGTCTTGAAGTAATCTCAGGGGAAGCAATAATATGCCATTACTCATCATGGCTGATGTGTAATTCTCAGTCAGGGAATCCCCTGAGAGCAGCGGGCATGTGATATTTCAAAGCAGAAAAGAAGAAAGCAGAAGTCCAGCCTACGCTGAAAGTTGCTTGGTTTTGAATGAACATTTGGTTCCAGATTCAACATTCTCAGTAAAAACAGTTATTATACAGCGATATAAGGCACTGTTCAGAAGGGGTGAAGTAGGCTGAGCTCTGGTTTGTTTTTGTTTTTGTTTTTTGCGTTTCATGCCATTCTAAGAGTTCAAGCTTTTTCATGATGGCATTCTGAAGCCTGAGCACCAAGCTATATTCAAGTGTATGCCCAATTCCACCAAGTTATGTTGGCACCCGAGGCACAAAATCATACAGACAGTTCACCCCATCCTGTAGTTAAAACAAGCAAACAACAAAGCTTCAAAATGACACCTTTCTCACATTTGGGGAGAAATCACTGGTAATACCCATATCTGTATTTCACAGCTTTGGTGGGCTGTGGTGCTGTTAGTTAGTAGCCAGCAGCATTAAATCACTACTGACCGAGAGATCATGAGTTCAAAGCCAGCCCGAGTTGGAGTGAGCTCCTGACCATTAATAATCTAGCTTGCTGTTGACCTATGCAGCCCAAAAGACAGTTACATCTGTCAAGTAAGAAATTTAGATACTGCTTTATGCGGGGAGGCTACTTTAACTAATTTATGGCACCATAAAAACTTCTAGCAGCGTGCATAAGAATCAGGAAGTACTCCACCAAGGACTCGGTGTCACAAGTGGACAGTGAAGTGGCAGCTCTCCCTGTGACCAGAATCAAGCATACCCTCATGAAGCTGGGAAGCTGGAAAGTTAAATTGCCTCTGTGACTGTCTATATATGTTGTATATCTATGGCATTGAATGTTTGCCATGTATATGTGCATTGTAATCAACCCTGAGTCCCCTGCGGCCTGAGGAGGGTGGAATATAAATACTGTAAATAAAAAATATATTATTATAGCCTAAACTAAACACTGGGTATCTCCATGAAGTCGAGGGAACATTCCTACCCTAAAATCAGGAGAATCATTGCCAATCAGTGTCAACAATACTGAGTTTAAATGGATCAATTATTCCATTTGGTATAAAGCAGTTTGTTTAATATTTCCAATTTTGTAGAAAAAATACAATTTTAAAGAATTTTTACTGCAGCTCCCATTAAATATATGATGAGCCTTGATGATCCATATAGCCCATTCATAAAGTACACTCCAGCAGTGTTAGTAATAAACTACATCTCCTATCTCAGCAGATCCTCTTTTCAGTAGATATAACAGCTGAACCATGCAT